TCCTGCTGTGACTTATGTTAGAGAGTGATTTATGTTTTCCTCTAGGAGTTTTATAGTTTCTGGTATTACATTTATATTTTTAATCTATTTTGAGTTTATTTTTGTGTACGGTGTTAGAAAGTGTTCTAGTTTCATTCTTTTACAAGTGGCTAACCAGTTTTTCCAGCACCACTTGTTAAATAGATTGTCTTTTCTCAATTGTGTATTCTTGCCTCCTTTGTCAAAGATAAGGTGTCCATAGGTGCGTGGATTTATCTGTGGGCTTTCTATTTTGTTCCATTGATCTATGTTTCTGTTTTTGTGCCAGGACCATACTGTCTTGATTACTGTAGCTTTGTAGTATAATCTGAAGACAGGAAGGTTGATTCCTTCAACCCCATTCTTCTTTCTCAAGACTGCTTTGGCTATTTGGGGTCTTTTGTGTTTCCATATGAATTGTGAAATATTTTGTTCTAGTTCTGTGAAAAATGCCATTGGTAATTTGATAAGGATCACATTGAATCTGTAGATTGTATTTGGTAGTTTAATTATTTTCACAAAACTTATTCTTCCTACACAGAAACATGGACTATCTCTCCATCTGTTTATGTCATTTTTGGTTCTTTTCATCAGTTCAGTTCAGTAGCTCAGTCATGTCCATCTCTTTGCAACCCCATGAACAGCAGCATGACAGGCTTCCCTGCCCATCACCAACTCCCGGAGTCCACCCAAGCCCATGTCCATTGAGTCAGTGATGCCATCCAGCCATCTCATCCTCTGTTGTCCCTTTCTCCTCCACCCTCAATCTTTCCCAGCATCAGGGTCTTTTCTAATGAGTCAGTTCTTCATATCAGGTGGTCAAAGTATTGGAGTTTCAGCTTCAGCATCAGTCCTTCCAATGAACACCCAGGACTGATCTCCTTTAGGATGGACTGGTTGGATCTCCTTGCAGTCCAAGGGACTCTCAATAGTATTCTCCAACACTATAGTTCAAAAGCATAAATTGTTCGGTGCTCAGCTTTCTTTATAGTCCAGCTCTCACATCCATACATGACTACAGGTGGCTGGAGAAACCATAGCCTTGACTAGATGGACCTTTGTTGACAAAATAATGTCTCTGCTTTTTAATATGCTGTCTAGGTTTGTCATAACTTTCTTTCTAAGGAGTAAGTGTCTTTTAATTCCATGGCTGCAATCATCATCTGCAGTGATTTTGGAGTCCCCCCACCCCCAAAAAAAAGTCAGCCACTGTTTCCACAGTTTCTTTATCTATTTGCCATGAAGTGGTGGGACCAGATGCCATGATCTTAGTTTTCTGAATGTTGAGCTTTAAGCCACTTTTTTCACTCTCCTCCTTCACTTTCAAGAGGCTCTTTAGTTGTTCTTCACTTTCATTCATCAGTGTCATAATTCTCTGTGTGCAGTTCTTTTCTCACCCTAGGTAGTTTCTTCCTAGATATTTAATTCTTTTTGTTACAATGATGAATGGGATTGATTCCTTAAATTTTCTTTCTGATTTTTCATTGTTAGTATACAGAAATGCAAGTGCTTTTCGTGTGTTGTTTTTGTATATCAAAACTTTGCTAAATTCACTGACTAGCTATAGTAATCTTCTGATGCTTTCTTTAGGGTTTTCTATGTACAGTATCATGTCATCTGCACACAGTGAGAGCTTTACTTTTTCTTTTCTGATCTGGATTAGTTTTACTTCTTTTCCTTTTCTGATTGCTGTAGATAGGACTTCCAGAACCATGTTGAATAATAGTGGGTATTCAAGACAAGTGGCACCCTTGTCTTCTTCCTGATCTTAGGGGTAATGCTTTCAATTTTTCACCATTGAGAATAATGTTTGCTGTAGGCTTATCATATAGGGCCTTTGCTATGTTGAGGTAGGTTCCTTCTTTGCTGATTTTTTGAAGAGTTTTAATCATAAATGGGTGCTGAATTTTGTCAAATGCTTTTTCTGCATCTATTGAGATTATCATATGATTTTTACCTTTCAATTTTTTAGTATGGTGTATCACATTGATTGATTTGTGTATATTGAAGAATCCTTGCATTCCTGGAATAAACCCAAGCTGATCATGGTGTATGAGCTTTTTGATGTGTTGCTGAATTTTGTTTGCTGAAAGTTTGTTGAGGATATTTGCATTTATGTTCATCAGTGATATTGGCTTGTAGCTTTCTTTTTTGTGTTGTCTTTGTCTGGTTTTGGTATCAGGATGATGGTGGCCTCAAAGAATGTGTTTGGAAGTGTCCCTTCCTCTGTAATTTTTTGAAAGAGTTGTAGAAGGATAGGCATTAGCTCTTCTCTAAATGTTTGATTGAGTTATCCTGTGAAGCCCCATCTAGTCCTGGACTTCTGTTTTTTGGGAGTTTTCTTTTATCACATCTTCAATTTCAGTGCTTTTAATTGGGTTGTTCATAATGTTTATTTCTTCTTAGTTCAGTCTTGGAAGATTGAACTTTTCTAAGAATATACCCATTTCTTCCAGGTTAACCATTTTATTGACATATAGTTTTTCATAATAGTCTTATAATCCTTTGAATGTTGTTTTCTATTGTAACCTTTCCTTTTTCATTTATTTTTATTAGTTGGAGGCTAATTACTTTACATCATTGTAGTTCAGTTCAGAGAAATGCAAATCAAAACCACAATGAGGTACCATTACACACCAGTCAGGATGGCTGCTATCCAAAAGTCTACAAGCAATAAATGCTGGAGAGGGTGTGGAGAAAAGGGAACCCTCTTACACTGTTGGTGGGAATGCAAATTAGTACAGCCACTATGGAAAACAGTGTGGAGATTTCTTAAAAAGCTGGAAATAGAACTGCCATATGACCCAGCAATCCCACTTCTGGGCATACACACCAAGGAAACCAGATCTGAAAGAGACACGTGCACCCCAATGTTCCTTTTTCATTTCTAATTTTCTTGATTTGATTCTTCTCTCTTTTTTTTCTTGATGAGTCTGGCTAAAGGCTTGTCAGTTTTGTTTATCTTCTCAAAGAACCAGCTTTTAGTTTTATTAATCTTTACTATTGCTTCTTTCATTTCTTTATTTATTTCTGCTTGGATCTTTATGATTTTTTTCCTTCTAATAATTTTGATTTTTGTTGTTGTTCTTCTTCTTCTGTTTCCAGTTGTTTTAGGTGTAAAGTTAGGTTGTCTGCTCAATGTTATTCTTGTTTCCTAAGGTAGGACTGTATTGGTATAAACTCCCCTCATAGAACTGCTTTTGAACACCTGCATCACTTAGGTGTTTAATTGTCATGTTTTCATTGTTATTTGTTTCTAGAATTTTTTTTTTTTATTTCTCTTTTGATTTCTTCAGTAACCTGTTGGCTAGTTAGAAACATGTTGTTTAATCTCCATGTGTTTGTGCTTCTTAAAGTTTTATTCTTGTAATAGATAACTCATTTCATAGTGTTGTGGCCTGAGAAGATGCTTGATACGGTTTCAATTTTCTTAAATTTACTGAGTTTTGATTTGTGACCCAAGATGTGGTCTATCCCAGAGAATGTTCCACGTGCGCTTGAGAAGAAAGTGTATTCTTCTGCATTTGGGTGGAATGTCCTGAGGTATCAATGAGGTCAATCTCATCTAATTTATCATTTAAGACTTGTGTTTCTTTATTAATTTTCTGTTTTGATGATCTGTCCATTGGTCAGAGTGGAGTGTTAAATTCTCCTACTGTTATTGTGTTACTGTCGATTTTTCCTTTTATGTGTGTTAGTGGTTGTGTTATATATTGAGGTGTTCCTATATGGGGTGTGTAGATATTTACAATTGTTATGTCTTCCTATTGGATTGATCCCTTCACCATTATGTAATGTCCTTCATTATCTCTTGTAATCTTCTTTATTTTAAGATCTATTTGGTCTGATATGAGGATTGCTACTCGACCTTTCTTTTGCTTCCCATTTGCATGAATATATTTTTCCATCCTCTCACTTTTAGTCTATACGTGTCTTTAGGTCTGAAGTAGATTTCTTGTAGACAGCATATATATGGGTCTTGTTTTTGTATCCAATCAGCCAGTCTGTGTCTTTTGGTTGGAGCATTTAATCCATTTACATTTAAAGTAATTATTGATATATATGTTCCTATTGCAACTTTTAAAATTGTTTGGGGTTAATTTTATAGATCTTTTTCCTTCTCTTGTATTTCTTGACTATATATGTTCCTTTAACATTTGTTGTAAAGTTGGTTTGGTGGTACTGAATTCTCTTAATGTTTGCTTGTCTAAATAGTTCTCCATCAATTTTGAATGATATCCTTGTTGGGTACAGTAATCTTGGTTGTAGATTTTTCCCTTTCGGTACTTTAAATATATCCTGGCATTTCCTTCTGGCCTGCAGAGTTTCTGTTGAAAGATCATCTGTTAAGTGTATGGGGCTTCCCTTGTATGTTACATGTTGCTTCTCCCTTGCTACTTTTAATATTCTTTCTTTGTGTTTAGTCTTTGTTAGTTTTATTAGTATGTGGCTTGGCATGCTTCTCCTTAGGTTTATCCTGTATGGGACTCTTTGCACCTCTTGGAATTCTGACTATTTCCTTTTCTATGTTGGGGAGGTTTTCAACTATAATCTCTTCAAAAATTTTATCATATCATTTTTTATATTGTCCCAGAGGTCTCTGAGACTATCCTCGGTTCTTTTCAATCTTTTTACTTTATTCTGATCTTCAGAAGTTATTTCCACCGTTTTATCTTCCAGATCACTGATTCGTTCTTCTGCTTCAGATATTCTGCTATTGATTCCTTCTAGAGTATTTTTAATTTCAGTCATTGTGTTGTTTGTCTCTGTTTGCTTATTCTTTAATTCTTCTATGTCTTTGATAATTGATTATTTCATTTTCTCCACTTTGTTTTCAAGGTTTTTGATGGTCTTTACTATCATTATTCTGAATTCTTTTTCAGGTACTACACCTATTTCCTCTTCATTTATTTGGACTTCTGTGTTTCCAGTTTGTTCTTTCATTTGTGTTGTACTTCTCTGCCCTTTAATTAATTAATTAATTAATTAATTTTGTTGTTTTGTGTTTGAGGTCTCATTTTCCCAGGCTTCAAGCTTGAATCCTTTCTTCCTTTAGTTTCTGCCCTCCAGAGGGTAAAGCATCTGCCTGCTATGCAGGAGATCTGAGTTTGAACCCTGGGTCGGGAAGATCCCCTGGAGAAGGAAATGGCAACCCACTCCAGTATTCTTGCCTGGAGAATCCCAAGGATGGAGGAGCCTGGCAGGCTACAGTTCACGGGGTTGCAAAGAGTCAGACACGAATGAGCGACTTCATTTTCACTTTTCAAGATTGGTCCAGTGACTTGTGCAAGCTTTGCATAGGGTGAGATTGCGCTGAGTTTTTGTTTGCTTGTTTGTTTTTCCTCTGCTTGGCAAGGCTGAGTGAGGTGGTCATCCTGTCTGTTGATGACTGGGTTTGTATTCTTGTTTTGTTTGTTGTTTAGATGAGGCATCCTGCCCAGGGTGCTACTGTTGGTTGGATGATGCTGGGTCTTTTATTCAGGTGGTTTCTTTTGTGTGGGTTCTCAATATTTGATACTCCCTAGGGTTATTTCTCTGATAGTCTAGGGTCTTGGAGTCAATGCTCCCACTCCAAAGGCTCAGGACTTGCTCTCTTGTCAGGAACAAAGATTGCACAAATGGTTTGTTATGGCATTAAGTGAGATTAAAAGAAAACCCCAAACTGAGAAACCAAAGAAGAACCCCAGACAAATGGCAGTTACAAAATCAGGCAAATAATAATAAAATAATGGACTATACATATACACCTATGAGCAAAGTCAAAACAGTCCAACAAAAATAAAGTGCAATTGACTGACCCAGCGAACAAAGGAAATAAAAAATTATATATAATTTACCAGTTAAGAACAAAGCTAACTAAATCACAAAGTGGAAAACAAAACTAAAGCAAGGTGCCAGTGGGTAATAAATCAATGCAAACAAAATTAACAAATATGTTGAGAGGAAAGGAAGGAAAGAAAGGAGACAATGAATAGATATGCAAAGTTAAGTAGAGGTAGATGAAGATTTATAGACATTAAAGATTAACTGCAAGGGGAAAATAACAGTAGGAAAGGAAAACAAAGGAATAAATGTAGAAAAAATATACTATGTTTAAAAAAATTAAAAGTTCAAATTGTAAGTATGAGAAAAGAAAAAAAAAAGACGGAAGAAGAAAGAAAAAAGGAAAAAATAAAAAGGAAAACTCCACAGAACTGCAAAGGCCCAATGTAGACACAGAGGTTTATAACAAAAATAAAAAGTGTGACTGAATATACACATATACATATACAACCATAAGCAAAAGCAAAACAGTCCAACAAAAAAAAAGTACAATAAATTTACCTGGTGAACAAAGGAAACCAAAAATCATGCATACCAGAACAAAACTAACTAAAGCACAAACTGGAAAACAAAACTAAAGCAAGGTGCCAATTGGTGAATACAGCAACGAAAATAAAACTAACAAATATTTTGGGAGGAAAGGAAAGAAAAAATAAAGAAAGAAAGAATAGATATGCAAAGTTAAATAGAGGTAGATAAGAAGATTTATATACATTAAAGTTTAAATGCAAGAGGAAAAGAACAGTGGGAAAGCAAACAAAGGAATAAATGTAGAAAAACAATAATAGGTTTAAAAAATTAAAAATTATAATAAAAAAATAGAAAATTAAAACAAAATGAAAAAAGAGAGAGAGAGAGAGAGAGAGAGAGAGAGAGAGAGAAGGCTCCCCAGAACTGCAAAAGCCTGCTGTAGAGGCAGAGGTTTATAACACCAATAAAAAATGTGTCTGAGAAAAAAAATAAAAAAGAAATTTTTCAAAAGCTTAATTAGATTTCATAGTGCCAATAAAATTGGCAACTACAACGGGGCGGGGGAGGGAAAAAAAAAGAAAAAATCCTAAAGAATCTACAGAACAAATCAAACCATAATAAATGCTTTTCTTAAGTCATTGCTGTCAGAGTCCTTTCCCTCACTGGGAGCCACAGTCCACCTCACCTCCCTGGGACGCCCTCCAACACTGTGCTGGTCTCTGGGGCTGCCGTGGGGGCAGCTCAGGCTCTCATCTGGTCCTACTCCCGTGCGTTCTTGCCTCCAGTGTCCACAGCTAACAGAACTAGTGCGTTTTATTTTGGGGGAGCTCTCAGTGTCCTTTTATCTCTTCCATAGACACAGAGTCTGCCTAGTTGATTGTGTGGATTTAATCTGCAGCTTGTACAGCTGGTGGGGAGGTTTTGGGTCTTTTTCTTTAGTCACACTGCCTCTGGGTTTCAATTGTGATTTTATTTGCACTTCTGCATGTGGGTTTTCCACTGGGGTTTGCTCCTGAGGCTGCCCTGGAGGACTTGGGTCTGCCCCTGTGAGGGCCAGGTGTGGAGGTGGTGAAGCTCCTTGGGTCTCAGGGGCTCTGGCAGCACCAGGTACTCAGGGGGGCTGGCGGCTAAGGCAGCAGGAAGTATAGTGTTCTAGAAGGCTATGGCAACCAGTATTGGCCAATACACTCCAGTATTCTTGCCTGGGGAATCCCTTCTCTGACAGAGAAGCCTGGCAGGCCACAGTCCACAGGGTCACAAAGAGTCAGACACTGACTAAGTGACCCTCCACACCTAGATGCAAGATTTTTTTTTTTTTTTGCACGTGGCAACTCTGCCCCAGTGAGGGTTGAGCGTGAAGGTGGCACAGCTGCTTGGCCTGGGGACCCTGGCAACGCCAAGTGTGCAGGGACACAGACTGCCCCCTCGGCAGGAGTTATGGCCCTATCAGAGTCTTTTCTCAGGCCTCTTGTAGCTGGCCATCAGAAGGCCTCTTTGGCCAGTCTTTCTCCATAGCTCTGCGCGTTCAGGCACTCAGAGGCCCCCTTGCCTGGGGTGCTTCTCTGTTGTTTGGCTTGTCAGGCACGTAGATGCCCCCCCACCCCAACCCTGGCTGCGGAGTCCTACTCTGGTTCAGGTGCATCAGGAGCTTGATGGGCCAGCCTCTCTATTGTTCAGGTGCCAACGCTGACATGTGGGGAGAGAGAGGCTATGGTGATGACCTCACCCCTTACATGTGACTCAGCAGTATCCATGGCTGTCTGGCTTTCCTCCACAGGAATTTTCCACCACAATCTCCTTCTTCACTTCCCCTCGATCCATCTCTCCACAGTCAACAGCAGCCCTTGCCCTGGGATTGCTCCACAACTCCCAAACTCCAGCTCCCAGCTGCTGCGCCTTGCAGGGGATCTATGTCTTTGTCCTGGGTATGTCAGGCTGTGGCAAGGTCTGTCTGAGTCTCATTTCATTTAGGCTGCCACAGATCAGCCTTAATTTAGGCGGCCACTCTCAGCCTTAACTGTTTCTCCTCTGACTCAGACAATTGCCCTGATGTGGGGATCAGACCCCTGTTCCAGTTCCCCCACCTGCTGGGCGCAGATCCAGTCCCACAAACACTCCCATTCCCCCCCCAGTTCCTTCGTCCTACTGTGTTTTGCGTGGGTCTATGCATCTCCTCCACTGGTCAGATACTCCTCTCTGCTCTCAGCTGGTGTTCTGCATGCACTTCTGTGTCTGAAGGTGTATTCCTGATGTATCCATGGAGAGAGATGCACTCCACATCCACCTACTCCTCCACCAACTTGTTCTCCCCCCAATTTTCTTATTTGGCTTATGGTGAGGAGAAAAACAAAAGATAAAATTAGTAAAATTCATATCACTTCTGAGTAAACACTCAATAGATGATAGCTAATATAAATATAATTAAATATAATAAAAATATAAGGTATTAGGGAAGTCTCTGCCCCCATGAATTTTCTTCAGCATTTAAATTCTATGCCTTACATACTGATATCAGAGGTTGAGAGGTCTGCAGGAATTATTTAATCCCCCAATCTTCATTTTATATTTCTGAACCAATTCCAGGCTAAAGTAATTCATACATATTTGTGGGGTGCAAATGTTCTGCTTCACAGATCTGTTATAAGGGTCAGTGGGAATACACAGAGAAAATCCCATGTACAGTGCCTGGCATAAACTAGTTATTTAACAAGCCATCATTATTATAACTAAGTTGGTGATAGTAGTTTCCTAAACTACAAACCAGCTGACTTTTAGTTCAATTCAGTACTCTTTTTCTACCTCAAAATGAACTATATAAAATATGATTATAACAAGCTAAGAAGTATAACAAATTAGAACTATTGGTAATCTTTGGACTTATTAAGTAAAAGCAAATTTATTATGTCAATCAGCAAATGGGAAGATAGTATATCTCCTTCTGGCATCTATTGTTATAGAACCAAACTTTCATCTGGTTTCAGGATTGCTGACTTTGAGAAGAAAGTTTGCTGTTTAAATCTATCCACTCAATCTCATTGTTTCCTCAATTGTGAAAAATCTTTCTCATTGGGTTATTTCAAAGAATTCATTACACATGAAAGTATTTCAGTGTCTGACACATTGAAAGCTTCCAAGAAAGGTTATCTTATTAGCATTTTATTATTACTTATAAGTTAATTGTATTTAATCCTCTATATTAGGACACCTCTGAGACTGAAAGGTAATGTTCTTAATAATTACACTGGGACAGGACGCATGGCCACCTTATCAACAACTTACTTTCTAGCTCAAAACAAATTTATAAAAGAGTGTTGTATTATGCAGGAGAATTTACATCTTGTGTAAATTGGAAAGATGTTATGTGTGGGTCAGATTCAAGGTGAGCGTGAAATTATGGTGCTGCTTCCTTCCAAACTCCCCTGAGACAAAATGGAAGGAGGTGGGTTGTTCCTATAGTATTTATAAGTCTTTCCTTTTTATAACTTAATCTCGCCGAAGGCATTTGTGAAGATCAGGTCCTGGGAGATACACTTTCATTTTTAAAATACTACGTACTTTCATGTGAAAATTTATGAGCGGTTTAGTTGCTAAGTTGTATCCAACTCTTGACCCCATAAGCTGTAGCCCACCAGTCTCCTGTGTGCCTTGGATTTCCCAGGCAAGAATACTGGAGTAGGTTACCATTTCCTTCTCCAGGGAATCTTTCCTATCTAGGAATTGATAGGTCTCCTGCATTGCTGGCATATTCTTTACCTACTGAGCTACAAGGGAATTCCTGTACTATATATACAAATAACTAACCTGGTTAGGGAAATATGCAGTAGGAGAGAACCACCTAACAATTATTTCCAAGCAGCCTGTTCCTTTCTCCTATAAAATTTCCTGTCTCATTAAACAAAGTTACTTTAATTTATACTTTAAGATTTTTTTTAATATAAATGTGTATAAAGAAGAAAACAGAATCTTCTTTATTTTTTCAATCATCTGTACCACTGACCACTCATCCAGTCATATATTTATTTTTCCTTATGAATTTTTAGAACAAATTAGATGTTTAGGAGAGAACAAATAAGCATGGTCCTAGTCTATCATGTTCTGCTCCACTTTGCTCCATTTCAACTGATTTAATTTTTCAAAC